AAATTATTATTAAGCGATGGTTTGGTGGGAAAGGATGTTTCAGACAGTATTGCATTAAACTCTAATGCTCTAGATGATTCGAGATTTGTCTGTGTTTAGATGTCATGAAGTAAAGTGAACTTCTGGTAAGCATCCAGTAAACTTTTATCAAATTAGGTAGACAGGCCAGATAAAGTTCTTCAAAGACTCTCCTTCCCTTTCTTATCAGTGCCTTTTCTGTATTTCCACACAAGTTATACTCAGAAAAATTGTTACAGGTGCCCATTTCAACCAGTCAAAGAAAACAGGTGGCCAGGTCTTGAACCAACGTGGATAATAAGAAAATTACTATGTGTATGAAGCTGTACTTTTGTAGCATACTGTATCAATTTTAAGTAGAGCAAAAAGAGCTCTTGACCAAAGATGATAAACTGACCTTGTGCAGACACAGGGAAAGAGGACATATGGAGGACTGTTATTTGCTTAGAGTCCCAGGACATAGTAAAGCCGAGCTCCCTTCCCTTAGATGTGGGGTCTGTCATTTCTCCCACCAGAAGTAAGTCAAAAAAGTGGAGGTGACAGCTTCTGCCTTTAAATATTCCATGCCACAGAACAAAAACACGCATAGGAAAAATACTGTATGTGAATATAGATACTTTCTGAAAGGTGCATTTATTTTATTATTAATAGTATTTTTCTCTCCCTTTCTTTTTCTTCTGTAGCAGTTATATGCTGCCCAGCTAGCTGCAATGCAGGTATCTCCAGGAGGGAAGCTCCCAGGCATACCCCAAGGCAACCTCGGTGCTGCTGTTTCTCCTACCAGCATTCACACAGACAAGAGCACAAACAGCCCACCACCCAAAAGCAAGGTACCCTTTTGAAGAACCTACTTGTCTTGCCACTTAGATTTGTATTTTTCCTTCTATGGCATTTATTGAATATTTAGCTATTGCATGCCCACAACTAGGGTAAAGTCTGGGTAGACAAGAAGGTAAGAGTCTAGTAGGGACAAATAGATACACCTGTTCAATTTACTGGCATACATCTAGTCATTCATGGACTCCGTAAATATGTGTTGATGGTTATGGTAGCAAATGTGAGTGATGAAAAGATTTCTCAGGGGGCATCCTATACCCAGGAAAATTACAAACTTCTAAAGTAATATTTATGAAAATAGCCCAATAGGCATACTATATGGTTCAAAATAATAAATTTTGTAAAGAGTTACAGATAAAGTACATTGGAAGTTATATTAGGAAGAAGAGATTCCCTTCGGTGAGAGATCCAGGCAAGGGTTTTCCAAAGAAGGGGCCACTGAAATAAACTTGAAATGCACGGACATAGAGAGTGTTTTTAAAATTTGAATGACTGTTACAATACGGCACAATATAGATGTTGTTTTAGATATGTCTCACATCTAATGAAATTATCACGTAGAAAAATAAAGACAATGGTATGACAAGTAAGGCAATTTAGAAATTGTTTTGGGTGCTAAAGAAATTTCCTGAGAAAACATGGCAAAGAATCAGGGAGGTTCAAATAATGTGTTTTTTTGATCTAAAAGGAGAGGGAAGTGGAAAAAAAAATGATCTGAAGGTTTTGGGTTTTTGTTTTTTTTTTATTTGTTAAGACCTTAGGAAATACTGTATGAATAGAGTAAAATTTCTTTTCTTTTTTATTATTATTAAATGATAACTGAATTAGAGTAAAATTTCTATGAGAGAAGTAAGGAGGTGTTCTCTGAGGTTATTTAGGGAAATAATCCCAAATATTTGACCGTATTGGAAAATGACGAGTAGAAAACTAACACAGTCAACTTACCCCAAAATAATTCTTTCGGCTGATTTACCTAGAATGTTGCTTCTTTCTGTTCTCCATCGTACTAATGCCGTGTTGAAATGCCTGAGGAGTAACAGGTTAAGAATAATGACAATAATTGAAGCAAATACAGAGAAATGGATTAGAAAGGATTAGAAGAGAAAAATCCACGAATTTTAAAGTCTGTCTGCAGTACCTGGTGGCTATCCCAGGAAGCCTTCCACAGTTACCGTATGATTACTCCAGAGAGTAAATCC